TTTTATTGGATTTAAGGTCCTTGTTGCCATAATGATTTATTCATTCAAGTGAGACAGAGAGGTCCCTAATAGGATTTGTATTCAAGGACATAAAGCCAAATAAGTCTGCTTAAAAGACTTGAAAATTACTGATGAACTCAAAAGAAACTGGAGCAATAATGAAAATTACATCAGAGAAGTATCGATAAAAAACCGTAGAAAATGAGAGATGGGAAATAGCTAAGGAGATGGTTCATTTAACAGCCCGGAGTTTACTAAAATACCAGAGAAATCTCTGGACGTAAACACACGGAAGCTGTTATCTACAACTCCAGTGTATGCATGTACTGATGAAATATAAATGAGTTACTTCTTTCTTAAATCATTTCGTGACTTAACTGACATTTAACAAGCGCAGCACTTGTGTTCCTATTGGCATGCATTTAAAAGGGAATCATTCGTCCCGTATGTAATTTGTTATTTTCAAGCTGAATTATGTACTCAACGATCTCATAAGTCAGCATACTATTTACTACATAATTGTATGTATTTACTGGTGTAATAGAAGAGAGTAAAAGGTAATTGAATATGCTAATTTGTGTATGTTTTGGCATACAGGACGTAAGAAATGAATTAGATTTTCAACAAGTTGATGTGTACAACTATGTATTTTTGATTTGTGTATTAAAGTTAATTAAGATTTATTCTTAAAAGTCGGTATGTGTATGCAGCAGTACGTTACAGCTGCATAAGCTTTTAATGTAAGGTTTACAGCATGGTGTGAATAATGTGAAGTAAGGCAAATATAAAATTTGTTTAAATAGGTAGTTTTCGTTTCTAAACTGACACTTCCGTTTTACTAAGCATATATTTTGATAACTATAGGTCTTGCTTGACATTTGCAAATATTCTTGGGTCTGGATCCCAAGGACCCAACCTTGCCACTTAAGTGGCACCAAAAGGAAGAAGTGACCTATGGCAACGAGTAGCTACAGCTATATACATTCCACTGGTCATCTATTGTTTGAATCTTTAATTGTGACATACGTTTGAAAAGTTTTGGTTAATAAGAAACATTCACCTGCATATAACAAAAGGAAAATAAAATCCATTATGCTTCCTAAAACACATTAGATTTTAATGTGGAAAAGAAATGCCCTGTATGGTTCATATACTGTATCAGGTATTAATGCTGTGTTTTAAGTTACTATAGAACAGATTCGTTGGGCCCGTGGACTCTGCAGAAAGTTATACAGAGCCATTGTGTAGTATCACATTTGAAATATTGTGTTCAGTCTTGGGCTCCTTACCTTAAGAAAGATATTGAACTGTTGGAAAGGGTTCAGAGAAGTGTTACTAGAATGGTGCCTGGAATGGAGGGGGTTGTCATACAAGGAAAGGTTGAAATCTCTGAAATTGTTTTCTCTTGAAAAAAGAAGAGTTCGAGGGGATCTGATTGAGGTATTTAAGATTGTGAAGGGAATTGATAGCGTTGATGCATCATCTTTTCCTACTTAACAGTGAAACCAGTAGGACTAGAGAACACAAATATAAATGTTTGCATGGTAGCAGTCATCTTCAGCTAAGACAGTTTTATTTTACTAACAGGGTAGTTGGCGTTTGGAATGGATAGCCTTCGGATGTTGTGGAATCAGTAAATTTAAGTGAGTTTAAGAGAAAGCTTGGTAAGTATATGAATGATAAAGGCTGGTTTTAAGATATTCAAAATTTAGTTACTAATAGTTTTAGTTTAGTTTAGAAGATGGAACAGCCGAGATAGACCAATAGGTCCCATGTTGTTCCAAAATGTTATGTTATTACTTCTCAAAACACCTAAATTTCCACAAGAATACTTTCTTCATAACATTGGAGTTAAATTACGAAATTAATACAATATCTCAAACTAAAGCAAAAACTTTACAAATACAGGTAGTTTAGAGTAATGTGGACAAATACTTTTATCTTAATTTTTACTACAAAAACAAACAAACAAATAATTAAGTACATCAACTGACTTAAAGTAAGTAAAAACTTTTTACGGCAAAAGAAATACAATTTTCATTGAGTCTGGCAAGTAAAATAGATTAAATCTGGAGCTTTATGTGTATGAACTGCTTTGATGGTATTAGAATTTTTTTTTATCTGTAAAGTTCTCTACTTTTGCAGTAAAATTTATTTTCAAAACCATCCAAATCAACAGAAGGTTTGTAAAATCATGGTCGTTAGCTATGAGAAATTCGTTTATTTTTGTTTGAAGATAGTTTTCTTTTGCGTAATGAATGTTTACAAGAAATCTTGCCAAAGTTTTTACAAATGGTAAAATATATAATAAAATGGTAATAAATGCAGTTCTTTTTTTTTCAATTGCGCTCTTTTAACTTTCAAGTAAAAAAGACTAATGGTCTGCTATGTTCCGAAATATTACATGAATCTAACTGTGATAATTTAAAAAGAACACATTTGAAAAAAAAAAGTTATTGAATTAATCTTCTGGAGAGAAACGCGGAATAGTACAGTTTGTTTGTTTGTTTTTGAATTTCGCGCAAAGCTACACGAGGGTTATCTGCGCTAGCCAT